ACTCGTATGTTCATAACTTTGTGAAAATCATAGGAAAGCAATTCATTTTCAACTTCTCATATGTTCTTACACAGTCAGAAAAAGGTAATGCCAGAATGAAGGGCTCAAGTGAGGTCACCAAGAATATTTCAGATTGATTTTACCCTCTGTATTATTCCTCAGCTGGGCTAAGATACCACCAACACTTTGTCTTTCTTCTCATATGCTGTAAAGCTTTATTCTGATTTTATCCTTTAATCACCCAATCTTTCTTCTTCACCTCAGAAGTGATGCAACAGGTATGAATGAAATACTTTCTCATTTTGAAGAGCTGGTTATGCTAAGTAGTAGCTGGCTTTGTAATAAAGGAAAATCCCCATATCTTTCATTCAAATAAAATTAGAGCTTACTGTACTAGTATTTGCTCAGTCACTTTTCTTTACCTGAAAAGCAGAAATTTATTCTCACACCTACTTGTTCAGTTACATCCAACTGAGTTTATTTAACAGCAATAGATTTGAACTAAACACACCTAATCTTCATGAAATCATTTGTCAAAACTTTCTGGACTAATTAGTTCTAACCTGAAAAATAGTTTGGAAATTAAAAAAAAAAAACAACTAAACTGACTCTTCAGAGTCTACGAAAAACAGAGAAAAAAGATGAAATAATGAGCTTCCTACTGAACTACTGAGCCTATTTTGAACTTCTTATGTTAATTTGGATAGTTCCTCTTAGGCTAATACAACTTCTTGTAATTAATTAAAACAATTTAATATTTAAAAATATGTTAAAATAATGATCACTGTCACTGTCCTCCTGTTGTTCATCGATTTGCTCAAGCGGGCCCAATAACATTGTGAGACTAGTTACTGTATTTGGCATATCGAATACGTCACGGGTAGCTTGCCAGGCTTTGCCGTGCAGGCGACATACTCTCAGTAGCTTGCCGGGCTCTCTGAGAGGGACGGAGGAATCGAACTGGGGTCGGGTCAGCTGTGTTGGCTGCCTGCAAGGCAAACGCCCTACCCGCTGTGCTATCGAATGATAAGCATCATACTTTAAACTACAGAAAAACAGGATTTTCCAACTATTTTTATAAACTATTTCAACTAAGCATCATATATGAAACACAATACATACTCAGCCACTTAGATGTTCAGGAAAAATTATTTTGCCTGCTTTCCTATTCCTCTCAATTATGATAAATTTCCAAAAGCCAGCATCAATGAGAGTTAAAACTACGTACAAAGTTTCTGGCAATGGTAAGAGAGAAGATAACCAAGAGCTAGTTGTAATGAGGGGGTTTTCTTCTACTCTGGAGATCTTACACTTCAATATTAAATTCTTGGGGAACACAATACAAGCTAGAGATATGCTTTGAAAAGATAAGAGACAAATGATTTGTAAAAGCACCAGAAAGGGGACATTTGGGGACACCCATGTTTACATATAGTTGAGTATATATATTGAAGGCCAGAGATTTTTTTAATGGGTAGCTTGCAGGCAGGTAATCTTCTGACTGGTATCAAGGATATTCAAACTGTGCAAAAGAAGTCCTGGCCCGGGAGGGCCATACACTAAGAAGGAAGAACTTGGCACTGATTGAAGCTCTGCTCAAGCCAGAAACCTAGTCATCATGTACTCCCCCAGGATCGGATGCTGAGTTCAGCTGGCACTGCCATCTTCTGAAGCTGCTCTACTCCACCTCAATCTGCTATGTGGAGGTCCAGGGCTGAGATTCAGTGTTGTACCATGAGCCTGGCATGTGTGGGGTGCAGATTTGAGTCCTAGTGGCATTTGTGATCCTTGGTAACACAACCAAAGTATATGCCCCACCCTGACCCAAAGACCACTACAACCAAGTGTGGGGAGCCCTGTCACAATTCAAGAGTGCAAATCACTCTTACTACACACATCACACATACATACATACACACACACCACCACCACCACCACCACCAACAACAACAACAAAAGGAGGAGGGGGAAAAAATAAAGGAAAATAATCTGCTATTTCTCAGTGTCCTCCTAGGCTTAAGCCACAGCTTCCCAACTTGCCCCTTCCTTTGAGGCTACCCCTAAACCAATCAGTAAAACCCATGGACTCTCTAAATGACCTATCTAACTCAGCAGAAATCATTTCCCGTTTCTTAATTTGTTTTGTATTTGGCTTGAGGTGGTTTCAGGAACGACTGTAAAATGCTTTGCTCAGGGTCACTCTTGGTACTTAAGAGGACTATGCAGTGCTGGGGCTCAAACTGGGCCTCCCTCATGCAAACCACACACATTCCAGAACTCAAGAGCCATCTCCTAGCTCCATCATCTCTCTTTAAAATTACCAGTGGTTAAGTTGGGATTGTAGACCCTGGTACTCGAACCCCACCTCCACCCCTAAATCCAATGGCTGCCCACTGCTTCAGCAAAGTTTAGCAAGCATGTTATTTTGTCGGGGGCACTCTCAGTACCTATTTCAGGAACACTTGTATACTTTTCTGGGAATTCCCCTATTCCGCCAGTCAAGGTGTCCTTCCCAGCTGACAGCAAGCTGACAGCAGATCCAAGTTGGGCAAATCAGACCCTTCCTCTGGGAAGGCTGTGTTAGCTGGAAAAAGCTACAAGATTTCAATATCCCAAAGCTAGCAACAGCCAAGATTCCTGCTAAGTAGAGAAAGCAGTCAAGGGCAGGTCAGGAGGAGGAGGGGAGAGTGTGATACAGTACAGGGGGGGCAATGTGCTTGCCTTGCACACAGCCGACCCGGGTTCGATCTCCAGTACCCTATATGGTTCCCCTAGCCTTCTGAAAGTGATCCCTAAGCACAGAGGTAGAAGTGAGCTTCCACCATGGGATGTACTCCCAAACCAACCAAGTAATAATAAGCAATGGAGAGTCTCAGGCAGTTCTGAGTTCCTACTTCTTGGGACTCAGGGCATCTCAGCCTCTCCATTCAACCCTAGCCTGGTGTCTCTGAGTCATTAAACTTCTCTTTTTGCCTAATTTGCCAAAGCTGCATTTCTCTCCTCTGCTGCCTGTTACATGAGACAAGTATCTCTTGATCTGTTCCCTGTCTCTCCAACTTGTATCATCACCCACCCTTGTATCATCATGTGCATGTTGTACAGCGAAACATTTAAATCTCACTAATTAACATTCAGTCACACCTCTTCCCTTTCACACCCAAGCATGTCTGCACCTCCACTTCCAATTTCAGGTGCACTTCTGTGATTTCTTAACCTTCTCCCCTTGTCAGAGCAAGACACCCACTATCCCACTATCCTGCTTTCTCGAAACACTTTGTCTAAGTTCAAGCTCTTAACACAGTGTCATATGATGCAACTGTGAATGAACCTACTCTAGATAAAGACGATTTATAGAGAGGTTAAAAACCAAGTGCCCGAGAACAGACTACTGGTTAAAGAAACTTTGGTACATGTACACAATGGAATACTTTGTAGCTGTTAGAAAAGATGAAGTCATGACATTTGCATATAAGTGGATTAAACCTGGAGTCAGACAGAGAGGGAGAGACATAGAAGAACTGTGCTCATCTGTGGAATATAAAGTAACATAATGGGAGACTAACACCCAAGGAGTCGAGATAAGGACCAGGAGGATTGCTCCACAGCTTGGAAGCTGGCCTCACATACTTGGGGAAAAGGCAGATCAGATACAGAAGGGACCACCAAGTAATGGATGCTTGGAGGACCCACTCCGGATGGGAGATGTATGCTGAAAGTACACTACAGACCAAACATAATGGCCACTCCAAACATAATGGCCACTTAATACCCGCATTGCAAACCACAACACCCTAATGGAGAGAGAGAAAAAGGGAATGCGCCTGGGGGGGGGGGGGGAGGGAGGAAGGAGGGGATAATGAGAACACTGGTGGTGGAGAACGGGCACTGGTGGAGGGATGGGTACTAGATCATCGTATGACTGAAATGTAAGCACGAAAGTTTGTAAGTCTGTAACTGTACCTCATGGTGTTTCATAAAAAAATAAAATAAAATTGAACTTTGAATTCCAACACCCAAGGTCCCAGGCTCAGCAGCAGTCACCTCTCTAGACAAGTCAGGCAGATCTCTGCTGGTTTCTAAAATATGGGATAACATCACTGACCTCTGTTTTGTCCATTCAGAATACACATTTGATTAAGAACTAAAAAAGGAAGTAGCAGGTTGCAGAACCACAATCCCTGATAACATGAACTCCCATTTCCTATTTCCAGCACCGCACACATCTGCCAAGGACGAACTATATAAAGAGTTGGCCATAAACGGGGCAAGTCTTACAGTTAAGACCCAGAGTTCACGAAGGGTGCAGGTGGCTGATGTCTAGTAGCTCCAAACTGTGGACACCAAAACGGTACTGAAGGAGGGTGGAGTTTCTGATAATTTAGGGTTATCTTTCTAGAAGGGTAGAGAGATACTCATTTCTCTGCCGCTCCTCATGACCCTGACAAGGAGTTTGAAGGGAAAGCGCATTCTCAGCATTCGTTTCCAGGGAAATCTCAAAAATCAAAACAAAACGGAGTTAGTAAAATGCCCCGAGAGGCAAAACAAAGGTGACATCAAATGGGCTGGAGGGTGTCCCTTAAGGTACCACTTCCACATCTGGATTTACACTGTCAAGTTATCACCTTTTAATGATCCTTAAGTGAGAGTCTCTCTCCCTCTGATCACAAACCCTGAGGCTCCAACCTAAGACTAGAGCAATTAAGTTGCAGGTGTGGCCACAAAGGATGACCAAGAAACTCAACTATTTTAAAGTGAATGGTAAGAAATAAAGGAGCTGAGAGGCGGGTGGCCGTTTGGGCAACAGAGAAAAGACGAGAGGAAAAAAACCAAACCAAACCAAACACCTGGCCAGAGCCAAGTGCAGAGAGCCGCGGTCACCCTTCCCGGCCGCCACCCAGGTGCGGCGTAGCCGGCAACTCCCTCCATCCCCTCCCAGCCCTCCGCGGCCGCGCCCCGCCGCCCCGCCGCCCCACCGCCCCGCCGCCAGAGACGGTAGGTACCCCAGGTCGGCTCCGGATCCGAGGACGTCAACGTAGCCTGGATCGCCGGCTGCAAGAGGACAAGAAGAACAAGGTGGAGAGCCATGCTGCTTCGGACCGCACACCGGGTGCGGCTCCGAGAGAATGCGGGAGCCCCGCCGTGCGGCCCCTCCGCCCGGTCGCACACGTCACTTCCGTCTAGTTGGAACCCAGCGACTGTAAAGCACGGGGCGGGTCTGGGAAAACAGGGGGGCGGGGATAGTAGAATAAAGACCACCCACGGATTGGCGGAGCTAGATCCTGAAGGCGTGTCTTTAAGCGGGGAGGCGGGGCCAGAGTGGGGAAACGTGTGGAAAACTTCCCGGGATCCAGGAAGCGGAGGTAGGGCGGGGAGGCGGGGCCCACGACCGGGTTGCAGCTGGGACACCCCACAGCCCACTGCGGCTGCGAGATTTGGGTATGGTCTTTAGCGCAGAAATCCTGGAGAGATGGACCATGTAGGTCCACGGCGTTTTGGGAAAGGCAGTCTGTAGTCGCGATTTGAGCCCACGGGTTTGGGAGGAAAGGTGGGTTCAGTAGTTAATGATTTTTCTGCTGGGCTCAACTGTCTTCTGCTCATCCTGTTTTTGTTGTGGTCTGGGGTTACTGAGAACTGCCCTAAGCCACAAGTCAGTCACAGTTCATAGTCTACCTTTTAAGTCTTGGTCATTAAGATCCTTGAGAACGTACTGTTTAAGAGCAGAAAGAACCCTTAAATGCCTCCTACCTTTGTATGTTGGGTACCCTAAAGCTGCTCCCTTTCCTGTTTGATCGCATTTTTTTTTTTGATCAAATCTTTTACCCTGAATCTCTCCCATTGCACTCACCCATTCCGCAGAGTCCTTGGCCTCTGCATTTACCAAAGACTCGCAGGCTTAAACTCAGGTACCCAATGGGACTAACAAACTCTCTTGCCTCAAAGCGTGCTTGTCAATTTTTTTCGTCAGCTATTGAAATTGCAACTCATCTCCTCATTCTGTTGGATCAAGATTTGCATTTGTAACAAAATTTGTAACAAAGCATGCCAGTGCTACTGGCTGTAACACCAGGTTTTGAATAAGAAGTCTTCAACTCCATCTAGACTAAGTTTGGAGAGTATTTTGTTTGATGTGTTTATGGTGCCTGCTGGCTTAGTCTGTTCAGGTTGCTCTGACAAAATATCACAGTGAAAATATCAAGACATCATAGTGTTTTATCTAATCCAGAAATCAAAACTTCCTGTAGCGTTGCACCACCTTTTCATCAAAGCTGAGAAAGACTCCAGGGTTACGAATGTCAAACAAAGGTGGCAGAAATGTGTGGTTTGAACAGTGTGTTTGGCAGCTAGACTGAGTGCAGTTCCTAAACTACTGAAGTCTTTTGTGCTGACCAGGAACCCAGATTCCATTACAGAATTTGCCTCTTGGAAAGAACCTTTCTATCTTTCTCTTCATTCTACTTAAAACAAGCGCTGATGACATGATTTATCTCCAACACTTTCTGTACACATCATTGTATTATCCTATGTGATGATTCTATGCTCTTCATCTATGTATGCTGTATTTTCCCCCATAAATATGATTTTTTCTAAATGTACGTAGACCCTAACTTTACACAACATAAAATCATAATGAGGTTCTCTTCTCTCCCTTCCCAAATCTTACTCCATAGGGAGTGGTTCCATTCCATTTTATTCTTGTGGTTGCAAATTAACTGTCCTTCTTTTATGACTGGAGGGCGGTCATCTAACTGTACTCAGGGCTTATTTCTGCCTTTTCTCTCAGGGATCACTCCTGGTAGGATTTGGAGAACCATATGGGGGCCAAGGACACAACCCAAGTTGGCTGTTTGCAAGCCAGACTCCTTACCAGTTATATTATCTCTTGGACCCCAAGCATTTTTTTCTTAATATAACTCTAGTTATATTATAACCAGATGGATAAGGAGTAATCAGGCTAGATAAAAGTAGGCAAGAGTAGGGGGGTATGGTGCCGCCAGCAGGTCAGTCTGTATCTGTGAGGCGAGTGCATCAGCAGCCTGATGGCGCCGTCTGACTTTCAGATACCCCAAAGTTACTGCTGTGCCTTGGCCAGACCCCAAAAACTTGGGGCAAAGTTTACCAAGAAACTAAACAGCCAAAAGTTAGGTATGTGGGAGACACACCCACAAACCGACTCTGGCTCAGCTATATAACTGGAGGCATGGCCTCTCTGGTTCCTGATTAAACTGCTTAACAGCCATGATCCGAGAGACTCAGAAACGAATCTTGGAACCCAATGGTTTTTGGCAGAAATGCGTCCTGTTCCTGCAGTAGGTTACTGGCACTGGGCCACTCCAGGTGGGAATAGGTTTCGTGCCTTGGCCTGTTCCCCTGGTGGCCCGGTGACCGCCATTCTCCAGAGGTGACTGGACAGTCAGTTTTGGGCCCACAGTGATGAAACACACGGGGCCTCACCAGATGGGGTGTAGCCGGCCCTTTCCTCCTGCCCCAACAAGACCCCGATTCGCCACCCATAAATGGCCTCTCTGGCTCCTGATCAAGCTGCTTAACGGCCATGATCCCAGAGACTCAGAAACAAATCTCGAAACACAGCGACTTTTGGAAGAAATATGTCTGGACCCTGTAGTAGTTTACTGTCGCCAGGCCACACCAGGGGGGAAAGAGTGCTGTGCCTCTACCTGCTCCCCTTTGGCGGCTCAGTGGCTGCCATCCTCCAGAGGCCTTTGTGCAGTCAGGTTTGAGCCCTCAGTGATGAGACACACGCGGCCTCATGGGATGGGTGGAGAGCTGGCCCTTTCCTCCCCATCCCAATGAGACCCTGAGTCGTTGCCCATGAACGGCCTTTCTGGCTCCTGGTCAAGATGCCTAATGGCCATGATCCCAGAAACTCAAGAACAAATCTTGGAGCCCATCAGATTTTGGCAGAAATCCCTCCAGATTTAAGTGTTAAAATTTCAGAATTCAAAATCATGCGGCCACTACTGTAGTCATGCAACATCATGTTTTTCATAACCAGCAATAGAAAACAAATTGCCTACTGTTGCCTTTTCAGCAGATCTGAGTTTTGGGGTAAAATCCCAAATAATAATGGTGGGTCTGGTGTCAAAATGTTGAGTGTAACCAAAGTAGAGAGAGAGTAATGTGGAAATAATCTGCCCCACAGGTAGGGTGAGGGTGTGGGATGGGGGTAGACTGGGGTTTTTGGTGGTGGAGAATGGGCACTGGTGAAGGTATGGGTGTTTCATTGTATGACCGAGACTTAAACTCGAAAGCTTTGTAACTGCTCTCACTGTGTTTCAATAAATAAAATTATAAAAAATGAAAAAAAGTAAGGTGGAGTTCATGCCCAATTCAGTCAGCTAATCAGTGGCTGAATAAATAGCTCTACTCCTACATTAAAAAAAAAAAAGTAGGCAAAAGTAGAGCAAGGTAACAGGCTAGTGAAAGGGAAAGAGTAAAATAATTTTAAAATTCAATATGTAAATCATACATAGTCACACAAAAGAGAAATAAGCAGTGCTGGTTACCCTGGTCAATAGCCAATGCCCACTGATGGGAGGATAGAGACTAGCTAAGGGTATATTGATCTCCACGAGATCTTGGGGTTTTTATCAAATTAATTTTGTTGTAGTATTGGTTTTATAAGACAATATCTGTTTGGGGAAGCAAATTCAAACTTCCTCAAATGTTTGTTCCCACACCACTCCAGCCATCTGGATACCAGTATCACTCCCCATAGTCCATTGGCACCCCTTTACCTTTTCAGCCCTTCTTCCACTTCAGAAACTTCAGTTCTGCATTCACAATTCAAGAATTTGTGTTTGTTTGGCTTTGTCCTCATGCTTTGAATTTTTTTATCACGCATATGAGTAATAACATCACCTAGTATTTGTCTTTCTTATTCTGCATTATTTCACTTAGTATGTGTGTCCATTTGTAACAAGTGGTAAAATTTCATCGTTTGTTATAGCTGAGCTGCATCCCATTGTATCTATGTCTCACAACTTCTTTACCCATTCATCTTTTGTTGGGCACTTGAATTGTTAAAAGGTCTTATTTATTGTAAATAGAGCTGCCAGCTGCCGTGAACATAAGTGAACATCTCTTTCAGATTGTGTTCTTAGGATAGATACCTGAGAGTGGATTTGCTGGATTATATGACTAGTCAATTTTTTATATTTCAAAATATCAGCATGCAATTTCCTATAGGGGGTAGATCTGTTTATATTCCCACTAATGGTGTAGGGGGGCTCCTTTTTCTCCTCACCTTTATTGGCCCTAGTAGTTTCTGGCTTTTTTGATAAAGACTATTCTCACAGGTTTGTGATTCTAATTATAGTTTGATTTATATTTCCCTGATAAGCAGTGACGGATTTTTTTTTTATGTGCATGTTGACTATCAGTATATCTTCTTTGGTATTTGGTGTAGTATCTATTCTCTCCCTTTTTATTAAAATGTGTTGTTAATTTTTTTCCCATTCATATTGAAATTTGCAAATTTTTAATATATCTTGGATATTAGCCCTTTATTTAATATAAAGGCGTCTGCCTTGCACGCAGCCAACATGGCCGACCCGAGTTCGATTCCTCCGCCCCTCTTGGAGAGCCCGGCAAGCTACCGAGAGTATTGGATATGCCAGACACAGTAACAACAAAGTCTCCAATGGAGACGTTACTGGGCCCGCTCGAGCAAATCGACGATCCACGGGAGGGCCTTTACTTACTTTACTTTAAAGGTAAAGGTAAAGGTAAAGGTAAAGGCCCTCCCGTTGATCATCGATTTGCTCGAGCGGGCCCAGTAACGTCTCCATTGGAGACTTTGTTGTTACTGTGTCTGGCATATCGAATACTCTGGGTAGCTTGCCGGGCTCTCCGAGAGGGGCGGAGGAATCGAACTTGGGTCGGCCATGTTGGCTGCGTGCAAGGCAAACGCCCTACCCGCTGTGCTATCGCTCCAGCGATATATTATTTAATATATGATATGCTAATTTGTAGACTTAGCATATTAATGATCAGATTTTTTTCTGCTGTGAAAAGTTTCCATTTGATAGAGTCCCATTATTTTTTTTTGCTATTTTTTTTTTGCCATTGAATTGAATACTCAAATATGTCACTGAACTCACTATAAGAGTGTTTTGTCTTTATTTCCT